GTTCAACATGGCCCAGGAACAAAAACGTGACCCTGAACAAAGGAAGGCCACAAAACATTTTTTTCAATTTCAGTATTTCTGAAAGAATGTGCAAAGAAAACCAGGGCTCATATTTTTATTTCTGAATTTTAACGCTTCTACTTTGGCTTTAAGTCACTCAAGAGAAAATGGTTTTTATTCCTTTAATTATTTCAAGAAACTCTTGAACACACAGATTACACATACACACACACATACAAACACAGACACATAAGTTCTTATTTTTGTCCAAATTCTTTTTCAAGGTAAAGAACCTCTAGAAACCATACTAGTCAAAATAAAAAAGATGTGGTTTAGCTGCTTTCTCCTAGTACTTAAGAGTAGACTCTCGTGTCTTTGAAAACAATGAATTAAAATAGTATAGAAAGGGAAAAGCCACTAGGAACTATAATTCTTCCCCACAAGCCAAAATGATAGCATGAAAAGCCAAGGTAGGCCAAGCAAACTAATTTCTCTCTCACCTGGAAACCCCACCGGTCCCGAAAGGAACCCTTGGTCTCTTCTTTGTTGAATGGCTCTCATACAAAGAAATTCTGCAATGACATCCCATTTGTGTGAAGAAGAAACTAAGAGAGCCGCCAGTCTGGCTTGGACAGAATACCCCTAACTTCAGCCAGCTGGCAGAGATCTCAGTAGGCAAGCACTCCATTATCATTCTGTTATAGTAAAGTTTCCAGTCTTCTTCTGAACACTGAGAAAAACGATCCAAGGCCAGCCTAAATCTCTTTGATATCAGAGGGAAAAGGAACTTAGTAGATTCTAATTTAACTCCTAATGACTTACTACAGGTATCAGGTAGAGCAGAATAATGAACAGCTGACCAGTGCGGAGCATGGCACATAGAGTGTGTTCATCAGACCGTCGAGTGCTGAAGAAGGAAAGAGGATGACGGGTCCACAGAGCAGAGAGCTGCAAAGGCAAAGAGCACCCGGCTGTGGTCCCGAGCAGGAGCTGCCCTCACAGAACTGCCATCACCCCAACAATAGTCTCCGACCCACGAACCCAGTGCATACTACTGCAGGAGTACATCACCATGAAGAAGAGAGGGGAGATCACCAAATTCAAAAGAAAGGAATCTAAAAGGTGCTGTGTGCCTTATAATCTCATATTACAACATTTCTTCCAAAAAAATAAAAAATAAATTGGCATACGTGGGACCCAAAATTTTGGACTGCTCTAATGCTCTTAGAAGTATGGGGGTCTTGTAACGAAAATATAAGTTTGTGCAAGCAAAGGATGATCACAAGCAAATCAAAAATGTCTCATGGCTTTGTCAGTTTTTCTTTCTTTCAATCACCTAAGTTCAACATATCCTCTGTCCCAGGCAGAGCAAGGCACAGGAACTACTGAGATCCATTATCACTTTCCCTCTAGGAGCTAGTTGGCAATACAGACAAGAAAATAGTTCTAAATACCACAACATGGTTCAGACTATGAAGAAAGCATTCACAGATATAGCAGGAACTCACCAAAGGCCCACTTAACCCAGCCTGAGGGGCGAAGGACGCCTTCAGGGAGGAAGTGATAGCTGAAATGAGGCTTGGAGACTGAAGAAATGAGCTGTGTAGAAGACAGAAGCGGAAATCCAGATAAACGCAAAGGCACAGGAAGCCACACGGCACACCAGGGGAACTGCAAGGGATTCCATATGGCTGAAGCACAGAGAGGCAAAAGAAGAAAGTGGGCTGAGAAGGCACGCAGAGGATGGAGCATGAAGGGCCTTGCCCATTATCACACTAAGGCATTTGAAATTTAATTCTAAGGCAACTGGAGAGCCATTACAAAAGATGAAGCAAGCAAGGGACATAATCGGATCTGATTTACAGTAAGTCTTTTCACCTAACAATAGCAGGGCCATAGCAGTGGAAAGGGACAAGGTCACAGGTGAGTCCACAGGCTGCTGCAGTAATCCAACTGAGAAAACAGAGGAGTCTCAACTAAGGTGGCAGCAATGGGAATGGTAAAGAGTAGTCAGATTCAGGGACATTTATGAGGTAAAAAGTAATACACCTTTGATCACTTGGCTGTAATGGTGTGCCAATAAATGTTTAACAGCTGCCTTAAAAAAATGCCCTGATTTGTAGCATTTGTCAATTTCTACGGGGTAAAAATTCCCATTGTGACTGTTTTCAAACTCCAAAAACGGTGTCACTGAACTTGGAACCGGGAAGAAATGTGCACAGTCAGCTCCTGCAAGTCAGCGTGAGTCAGCGGCAGGACTACTTCCAGAACATGAGTCCAGGGAAAGTCAAGGCCTCCCCTGGCTGGGGGACCTGGGTAGAGTAGGAAACGCAGGACATTAACTGCAGTTACTAAGTTCGGATTGGGACATACCGAGTTAGAGGAAGATATCAAGATGTCCAGCAGGCAGACAGATATAAGGGATCTAAACACGGCAGAGAAAAATCCCGCTAGACATTATAGTTGAAACGGACATTGTGAGAAACCGTGTGCAAACCCAGAAGATAAGAGGATAAAGCACAGAACCCTATGAAATACCAACATTAGAGGGATGAATGGAGAACTTGATTAAGGATGCCAGAGAAGGACCTTTAAGAAAGGGAGGGTTTCTCAGGACCAATTCCCCAAATAGTTCCCTGACTGATAATCAATTCACCAAAGAATTAACTTACTGAAGTTACCAAATTTACCTATTTTTAAAACCTATTTTTAAAATTATTTATAAAGCAATTGTTCGTTAGAGGGACTTGTTTTCAGCAAATTGGCCTGTTTGAATATAAAAAGCCAAAAGAGAAGGAGTTTTAAGGAGCAAGGAACAGTCAGTAGCAGCAAATGCCACACAAGAGGTCAAGAGCTAACAGAAGCAAAGATGTCCCTGAGCAACCTTACAACACACGCTCCACAGAATGGCGGTGGCGGGGGGAAGATGCCAGTGGACAAGTGAATGGAAAGAGAAGTAGAGATGGTATAGAAGCTTTCAATGAAGAGAGTAGTAGAGAAGAAAACCTCAGGAAGAGGCTATTGATTACCTTTCCTTTTCTTGTATGTCTTGTGTGACTCACATAGGTTTACATGTTGAATGGAAAGACCCAGCATTTAGGGAGAAATTGAAGGATTAAACAAAAGGATCAAAGTAATCGATACTCTGATGGTCCAGGAGAGGAAGGGGGAATGAAATCTGTAGTAAAAGTAAAGGGGGAAGATACACTTCCCTAACTCATTTGTGGAGCAATCCTTCTGTTAGGTGGGAAAATGGCTGAGTTTCATTTTACCAAGACAATCAAGGTATGTGTCATCTATTAAGAGGGCCTTTTGCAATTCCATATGATTCCAGTTAGAAAATTTCCTGAATGATATTGGTCTGTACCCTGAAGTCACAGGACACAGGAACCAAACCTGAAAGTATGCCAATCTTGCATCATTAAGTGCAAAATTTAATTGTTTTAGATTCTCATTGTCCCAAACCCTCCTCCCCACTGTCACCGTCCTTCCCTTGCAATATCCTACCCCTCCCAATGGCTTCCCAATTTACCAGGCCAAGAAATACATATTCTGTTTTGTTTTAACCTGATATATTTAGAACTTATTTCACAGGTATTTGATGCCTAGAATGACTTATTCTTATGCTTAGAAACACTGATTATTTTATAAATGCACCAAATTCTTTGAGATCAAGTCAATGGCGGCTTGAGTAAAGATCACCAATATCACTTCAGCATTTTGCCATGTCAAAATTGTCACCTAACCATTACTGAAAAGTTATCAGTTCTTATAAATGAAGTCTCTGTCTTATAAATGTTTGATTATTTTGTAGTCAATTGAGGATTTTCTCTAAATTAGAGCTTAGTGATTTGCCGAAACAGTCAGGGATTGAATTACACAGGACTCCAGCATTGTAATATAATATGCTTGTCACTACATGGTCATTTAACAAATTTCTCTGGCTGCGCTTTTACAGGAAATCAACTGAGAAGATTCGTGTTCACTATATTGTATAACTTTTATCTGTCCTTTGTGGCCAAGGGCCAGGGAACAATGATATAAGCTAGGGGCTGAAAAGAGAGAAAAATCCTTAACAGAAATTACACACACACCTGGGACAAACCACAAAGATGGCAGAATAAGCTGGGTAGTAGAAGTTTGGCAAAAAGAAAACATTTACCCATAGTGTACAGGTTTAATTCAGCTCTCAAGTGGCACAAGAGAGATAACAGGGATTTTATTTTATTTTATTTAAGGATTATATTTTGCTTTCTTCTACAAACTATCTAAAAAAAAAACACTTCTGATCTTTAGAGATTTATGCAAATATCAATTCTTAAAGGAAAACGTCTGACTCTGCTGTAAAAACTGCTACTATAGAACGTATGTAGAAATAATTCAGCTGACTAGCAAAATGAGGATAGTTGCTTCAAGATAGAAAATTCTAGGGGCGCCTGGGTGGCTCAGTCCACTAAGCGTCTTTCAGCTCAGGTCATGATTCCAGGGTCCTGGGATGGAGCCCCACATCCGGCTCCCTGTTTAGCGTGAGGGGTGGGGGATGGGGTGGAGCCTGCTGCTCCCCCTGCTTGTATTCTCTCACTCTCTCAAATAAATAAATAAAATCTTCCGGAGGGAGGGAGGGAGGGAGGGAGGGAGGGAGGAGGAAGGAAGGAAGGAGGGGAGGGAGGAAGGAGAGAAGGAAGGAAGGAAGGAAGGAAGGAAGGAAGGAAGGAAGGAAGGAAGAAAGAAAGAAAGAAAGAAAGAAAGAAAGAAAGAAAGAAAGAAAGAGAAAAAGAAAAAAAGAAAGAAAGAATTCTAAAAACATAACTTACTACATACAAAAGGAAGAAACCCCAAGAGAACACCATCAAACAATACACCTGGGGGGGGGGGGGTTACTAAAACAGATTCTACTTTTACCTTGAGAATCACATCTAGTGGAAAATCAAGACTTAGGTTACCAACACGAGCCTTTTGTTTTGTTTTGTTTTAAGAACACAAATAAATTAGTAACCTACCGTCTGTCTGAGATTTACTGAGGAATATTGTGCTGGCCCGAGGATGGTCTGAAGGATTGAATTCCATGTTCAAATCTTTAAAGAAAGAAAAAGAAAATACATAAATATCCATTTGATAACTAAGGGGAGTCAAGATTAATTTTCAGTTTTTTTAACCTTAAATTGCTAATACATTCAAGGATTCTGGCAAAAACCTAAGTTATTATGTTAATACATTCTTCCAGGTTCAAATGAGAACACTGCTATTTAGAAATTTGAGAAAGTCACACATAAAAATTAGACACTTGGTGGAAGATCTGTTGGCCTAAAACTCCATTTTCTTTGTAATAGTCTGCTCTGCACCCAGGATACTACAAAATAGCAAGACAGAGCTATAACACTCAATTAAGGGGAATTAGGTGCTACAACGGACTCATCTAAAATCTACCATTATTTAAGCGGTATTTCCTTGTTAAAGGTGATTAAGATAGACCATCTCGGCCAAATCAGCATGCACAAACTGCTTAAGACTCTTACTTTCTAAAAAGGCACAACTCCTCCTTCAGAGCAGAGGCCACAGACTGGCCAACTGTGGGCATAATCTGGGGCCATGGATATGTTTTGTTTGATCTATACTTTTTTTTAAAGTTTGAGTCGACATATAATGATTTTTATATTTCAAACAAATACCACAAAGAAAAAAATCTGTATTTCCAGCTTCTGAGAAATCTGATCATTTGGCAACACTGGGGTCCCACCCCAATGGTCACAATGGGCTGAATGCAGCAGCTGCTGACCCCTCCAGGTGGGACCTAAGATTCCAGTCCCCAGCGGTCAACCCTCTCACCTCCCTGACACTCACCAGGTACTGCTCCTCACTCTCAGACCTTCCCACCCCTATGGGCATTTGGTTTTGTAATCCCTGCCTCAGAACAATCTCCAAGAGCTAGAGGCTTGTCAGTAAAGTATAAACAATTTAGAACCTCATCATAGAAGAGTTTTTCCAATTTAAAAAAAAAAACTTATTTTAAAGGAAAAAAATAGTTAAGCAAAACAAAAGATTTAAGTTAGGGGAGGGAAGAGAGAAAACCAAAATTACTAGAAAGTCAGAATGGTCTTCAAATCAGCTTCCAGAGTCAGAATGAAAACTATTTTGAGTTCAATTATTTCAATAAATTTGCAAAGAAACCTACTCAAAACCAATAAAAATAGATGGTATTTATCCTTAGCTTTTATAGCTAATCAAGTCAAAAATAAAAGAAAAAAAAGATGGTCATATACACAGGAGAAGCAACACCTAACCACTTACCCACAGAGACTCACCTCAGCAAACCTCTGAAGTGAGGCAATCTTCCCTACGTCAGCCAATGGCTTACCGGACTATATAGTTCCCGACCTCACACCAGGTGCCTGATTAAAAAAATGCATTACTGAACCTTAAGTGCTATTTCAATTATCTGGTCCTTCTTCTGTGACAACTATTAAAATTATATATACAGTGTAGCAGTTTCATAGCTAAAGGCTATGGAAGGAGAAAGCCAAAAAAGACAATCTTTCAGACTTGCTTCAATTTGAACTAGATAAAATTTGGCCAGAATTCTGGTGAAAATGAGTCTTTATTAGGGGGTTTCCTGCTCAAGTAGAATTTTGTTATAAAAAGGTCAGGGGTGCCTGGGTGGCTCAGTCGGTTAAGCATCTGTCTTTGGCTCAGGTCCCAGGGTTCTGGGATGGAGCCCCGTATCGGGCTCCCTGCTCAGCAGGGAGCCTGCTTCTCCCTCTCCCTGCTCTTGTGCTCTCACTTGCTCTCTCTCTCTCTCTGCCTCTCAAATAAATAAAATCTTTAAAAAATTAATAAAATAAAAAGGTCAAACAACAAATGTGCTACTCAATTATTTTTTTGAGAATTCCAGCATATGAAAACTGAGGGCATATAAGTAACCCCAACCATGATGGATGCTGTTAACTTCCAAAATCTTAACTTACGGTCCCCACAGAAGTATTGACTGAAAAACAAGGTGCCTGCAGTGTCCCATGCTGGTGGTAGAGCAATAACAAAAACTCAATCCCCTAGCCTGGGACAATGTCAGCACTGCAATTTCTTGGGTTGTTCCCTTAATATCTATTTCTAACTCATTTACCAGACCAGTTTTGGGGGGTTTCATTGCGGGGGGGGGGGGGGGCAGAAGACTGTCTAGTGACAGATTTTAATCCAGACATTTGAAAAATACATAGGCAGGCCACCCTATGCAGACCAGTTTTCTTGAAGACTGACTTTATTATTAATATGTCAAACACCACAAGCAAGAAATGTAGTTTTTCTGTTTCAAGCCAACAGTGAAGCTGAAATAACACAAGACTGCCATTTCTTAGGGACTTGAGATCCTGCTGCTTTTAAATTTAAGAATGTCCTGGAGGCCAATCCCTAGAGATAAGGATTCTATGCCATGATGGTCACAAACCCTAGAAATGGCTAAGAATGGAGATGTTCACAGATTCTGAGAGGCCTGCCAATAATAGGGCATTTGTTATAGTAGATAACAGTGTGCCCAGATGGTAGAATGCTTTGCCACCATAAAACATCATGTGAACTACACTACTCATGGGGAGCATAGAAGAATGTCGACTTGTCGAATCACTACACTGTACACCTGAAACTAATGTAACATCATATGTCAACTATACTTCAATAAAAAGAGTATTTCATAATTTTTTTAAAAATGTGAAGAATATTTTATTCACATGGAAATAGTAGTACCGTATGTTATTAGGTGAAGAAAGCAGCATGGTATCATTTGGGGGGGGGGGGGATAAGCATAGGCATAGTATACATATTAAAAGAATATACACTAATATTTGGTTACCTTTGAATAATGCAAGGGAGACAATTTTTTTCTTTTCCATGTTTTCTACATTTCCTGCATTGAGCATATTTTCATCTGTTTAAGTTCTGTAATTTCAAACACTAATTTTTTTTTTTAAAGATTTTATTTATTTATTTGAGACAGAGAGAATGAGAGAGACAGAGAGCACATGAGAGGGGGGAGGGTCAGAGGGAGAAGTAGGCTCCCTGCCGAGCAGGGAGCCCGATGCGGGACTCGATCCAGGGACTCCAGGATCATGACCTGAGCCGAAGGCAGTCGCTTAACCAACTGAGCCACCCAGGCGCCCAAACACTAATGTTTTAAAACAACTTGTGAAAAATGATTTAAGCCTTCATTATCCTCTAGGTGGCTGGACATTATTTCTCCAGCACACGCAGGTGTTCCCAGGAGATGCCCTGGGCTCTCTCGGCTGTGGCTGTCGCATCGCCTTCCCACGAGTCAGGGGAGACTTGCACAAAGCCACCAAGCTGAGTCTCCCCACCAGCACTGGCCACGGGCTGGAGGAACTCGTGATGAAAGACAATGTGCTGTGAGGGACGAGGGACCCGCAGTGGAGGCGCCTCCGTCCTGCCGGCAGCCACCCCACACCGCACACTTCCTTGTCTAACCAGAGCAGGGCCACAGGGGAGGATAACGGCTTGTTCTTCAGTGCGGAACCCAGGAGGAGTCATGTTTCACGCTGTCCCTACCAAGTGTGACACAGGAAGAGATTATCCTGTTTCCTTTATGGTCAAGTCATAATTCTGGGTCTGAATATAACACTCACTTATGGCAGAGGTGGTTTCCTGCATGAGTGACAGGCCAGTTATCATGTCCACCCAGTTCAGTGACACAGAACAAGTCATGAAGAGTTCAGAAGAGTCTTCAAGATGAACGTTTGATGTGATACTCGCAGATAAGGCAAGTGAGGCTGACAGAGGTTAAGGGTCTAAGCTGTGTGATAACAGAACTTGAACCAGAACTCTGGTCTCCAGCTGCAATTTAGAGTCCAGAGTTTTTCCTATTACCCCTACTAGGCCCAGACCTTGCCTCAGATCCTGACTGCCCTAGAAGGACTGGAGTCTGAAAGTGGAGGGAGGCAAAAGCCAGCACAGAGGAAGATCCAGCAGCCCCTAAAGCTGCGTTCACACAATCTTCCCTAAGTTCTCCCTGGAATTTAAATTTTTGATCTAGATCCTGAAGTAGATAACCAGGAAATTTCTACACAAAGAAAAATCGAGGATATCTCTGCTTCTGGACTCAAGAGTACATGTAGTACTGCTGAGGAAAACAGAAATCATCAACTAGCTTTTATCTGCAAGCATGCCCAGATGTTAACACATGAGAGCTCAACACTTTCATGAGCTGCCAGGACATTCCTCAGAAAAAAGCATTTAACAACATGCTGGTTTGTATTTTCTCCAATCTTAACCCAGATCCATCCATATTCCATAACCATAGCGTGGAAAGTAATAAAACCTTTGTCAGGTGTAGGTCAATGGGCTAACTTTGCATAGCACAAGTCTGAAGGCCAGATTTCTCTTAACTATTCATATGAAGGTGGGCCAACCACAGCACCCAGTTTACTTAGCACTGATTTACATATGCACAATGGCAGAATACAAAGGTACAAGGAACTGCCAGGTGTTTCCTACATACAAGTTTAAAGAGCAGCCCCGGATCTTGAAGAGAAATATGGCAATTGCAGTATGTGCTTTGGCAAGGGAACGCCAACTTTTCAGGGAACAAAAAATAGGAAAAGGCAGCGTTCTCACAAGCTAAGTAAAATAAACCTGCCATATCATTCAAACTTACACTCTGAAAAGTCAAGCGTGACAAAATTGCTACTTCAGCCACAAAGAAAAAAATCCCCACACTGCAGAAAGTCAGGCAAAATGATAACCCAAATGTGAACAATGAGTTGGAACACATTTGGAAAGAGTGTCGTGATTTCAGTTCGGCTCAGTGATGTTTCTTTCTTTTTAAAGATTTATTTATTTATTTTGAGAGAGAGCGAGCTCTCGAACAAGGGGAGGGAGAGAAAGAATCTCAAGCAGACTCCCTGTTGAGCGCGAAGACCCACATGGGGCTCCATCTCACAATGCTGAGATCATGACCTGAGCCAGAATCAAGAGTCAGCAGCTTTACTTAATGAGCCAATGATGTTTCTGAATGGCAAGAATTAAAAGGAAGAAAGTCATGAAATAATAAGCTTAAAATCAGAGATTATAGATG